TGGTGAAAATTTCATGTCATTAGCACCTCTAGTAATGTATTTACTGAGAAAAATGGTGACGTGTTCAATACTTATTTTACCCGCTGTATACAGCATTCTCATAACAGCTGAAGGTAACAGAGTTACACGATTGTGGTATAAAGTTGAAGTATGTGTCTAGAAAATACATAATACCCCTTTTAAAACTGAAGTCTGACATGTTCTGCTTTTCTTTTACACTTCTGCAACACAAAGAGGGAAGTGTTAAACAGCATCTAAAAATAAATAAGTTAAACAAATCTACAAATCCAACAATCATTAAAGGAACAGTTAAGGGCTTTTGAAGGTGAATTCTGTGGAAAGATAATACCCAAATATTTGGCTAACACGTTGTAGATAGCTCTTGACACTATGGAGAAATAATTTAATCCTCCTGCTGTCCTTGGGTCAAAATGATCAACATGGGCTCAGTTTTAGGACTGAGGCCTTGTTTACTTTATAACCTTTTAATTATACAGCAGTAGAATATTTTAGGAGGACTGATACTTTATGCAGACCTTCCTCCACCCAAAAGCCACAAACCTTGGTATTGGTCAAACTCTACCTGCCCTGCAGGCAAAAAGCCCAACAGAACCTGTGATCTATCCTTGTCATTTTTAGCTCCAGGATCTCCCTGCTGCTCATTGGACTAGAAAGCAAATGCTTGCAATTCTGTGGTTTTAAAAACAGGTCTGCCTCTTTTCCTCTTTCTCTATCATTACATTTGGGGGAAAAAAAAACAAAAAAACAAGGTCGACTGTAATAGCTCAGCTGAGAGGAAAACCAGGTTTTTTTTATAGCTGCCTCTGGCCAAAGCTACTAGTTATTACACTACACAGAACAAAGAGCATGAAAGAAGAGGCCAGGATTAAAAAAAAAGAAAATGACATTCAAAGGAGCAAAGAGAGGGAGTCAGCCGGTAAGCAAATAACCCAACAGAGCTGTGTTTCCACTTGTCCTGAAAGAAAACCAACATCCGCAAGAAAAATACCTACTTAAACCACTAACTATCTTTACACATTGACATCTTGCTCTGAAAATGGTGCCCTTAGAGATATTCTGGAATGCCCACAGTGCTATTACACCGACAGTGGATTAGTTTTTAAATATTACACGAGAGATTTACTTATTCATGTGGCTCTGCTGGGCTCAATATGATGACAGGTTTGTTGTACTGTAAAAATATTTGAGCAAAGGCAACTAAATGATGGAATTTTAATTCTAAAAAGCATAAAAATGCCATATTTCATTTAAAAAGACATCCACTGAACTCGGTCCAGGGGCGTTACCAAAAAGAGGCCAAAGGAGCCAATGGCCATCCCAAAAAAATGGTGCAATTCTTAAACTCCAATATTGCCAATGTTGGCAAATTTTTAATTTACACCAGTATTTATTTATTTTTTTAGTGTTGCACTGCAGGATTTGTAGTGGCCCCCACATGGCCACCCCATTAAAAAACATTTCTTGATGCACTATTGACCCCCAGCTGAACTAGTTTTGTTTCTTTCACCAAAAATTTTAAGTCATTGCTTTCTTTTGATTGAAGCGAGTGAGAGAACATTTTAGAAGTTACTTCAGGATATTTGCTTTTCTGTAGGGTATTACAGTCATAGACTAGAATAATTAACATTGCTTTTTGTGTTTTGGCCATCAAATAGAAATAAAACTGCAAAGGCCCTGCCACACTTTAATGTTTTAGACAACTTATGCCAACTTTTTATGACTAAATAACTCATWTAGGTTCTATATTTTATATACTTGTTAGCATTGCAGTATGTATACATCCATCTTCAATGTAGACATTTTCAAAGTTGGACAAAATTTGCACAAATTCTCTAAAACATAATAGTGTGACAGGGCCGAGAAAACCCAACAAATCTCTTACCAATTTAACAGAGTTTGATCCCACAGCTTATAAAAATCATAATCCAAACATTAAAGGTATATCCAATCCAACACATATTTCAAAGATAACCATATTGTTTTAAAATCATTGCCTTTTTTAAGGTTTAGGAGGAAAATCCTGGTTAAGGTTAAGAACAATACAGCTCAGTTTGTTAACCAGGAAGTCCTGGTTTGAAAACAAAAAGACTCCAGGGCTGAAGGCATTTCTCATTATAAATTATAAATTTAAAGTTTATTCTAAATTGAACCAACTGGTTTTGGTTTGTTGTGCTTATATCTTGCATCACGATCCTTAGCAAACAAAACTGGCTATAGCTCAGTCAGTTTTACAGATATTAAGTTGACATTTTGTGTGGTAGTAGTTGAGAGACATCAGAACATACACCAAGCACCAAGAGTTCTTTTATATGTTTCATTATATTAAATGAGTTTTGTGTTTGGTTTATTTATGTTGATCTTTTGCTAATAGTGTTTTATTTCATGGTTTTTGTTGCTAAATGCAAAACATACAGATCATTTAAATGTCAAATTAGTGCTTCCTGTTTTTTCATGCTGGCTTACAGGAGCCAACTTCTAGTTCAGACTTTGCAAAAGCAGGACGAGGCAAAGTTGACGCCATCAATTTTGCTATTGTGCTGTCAGCCTGTGAGATAACAGAACTCAACATCCCATCTGCCAGCAGAGCAAACATGTACCGCTAAACCAAACACAACTCGCTGTACGCAGACCTTTAAAACCTCCCCGAGGGCCAAGAAAAGCTGAMCAAAATCTCCTTGGATTATTAAAGCAACAAGGCTGAAGCTCCTGGGTTTGTCAGAACGCATAATCAGAACATATCCCCATAAAATTAAAGCTGAATAAAACAACCGACGAGCTCATAACAGAGAGGAAAACAAGAGCTGTTGACATTCAAACCCTCGAATGGGTTGTGCTCCGACAGGAGGAAACATGCTGCATTAATGGGATGAATGGGATTAATATGCTGTCAGTGTGCTCCTCTCTGACTCAGACTCTATTGGACTCTTTGCTTCAACATGATCATGGACCCACTTCAGATTTCATGACTTTCTGGAGGGTAGCCTACTGATGAAAACTAAGTTCTACAAGTTCAACCATGTCTCACACTTCTTTAAAGACAAATAAGATGTTCTGGTGGGGAGAAAAAACAAATCAGAAAACCTTTAAAGTTGCAAAACCACATCTGTAATTCTGAATGCACGAGGATGCATCAGATATGGCTTTAGTTGTGAAACCCAGAGGATAAACCAGGATTAAACTCAGTCTGTGTCCTGCAGTTCTGGGATTGGTATATTTGAACAATAGCTGTAAAGTCCGTGTCTGCACAGTATGGAAACAAACAGGAAAAACACCTGCTGGATTCTCAGAGTCTTGCCAGTCGTCACTGAACAAACAGGAAGTTTCTGGTGGAGGAGCAGCAACAGAGTCCACCTACCTGTTCTCATCTTCAGCTGCAGCCACAGCCTGGTGATATCATGGCACAACTGAGACATTCGGTTTAAAGCCATTGTTTTTCCGCTGCATGCATGCCCCCCTTTCCCTTCACACACACACACTCACACACACACACACACACACTCACACACACACAGTCAGCTAAAACCGAAACGCACACAGCCCCGCTTTCTGTCAGAAAACATCCCGGTGGAAGTTAAGGCAGTCCATTCTGCTGCAGTCGAGTGCTTCAGCTGCTCACTGAGCTGTCACTGCACTGCACTACACAGCTGCCTCCCCCCTCCATCACACACACACACACACACACACACAAACACACACACACACATACACACACACTCCCAGTGTCTGCCAGCCGAGGGGGGCGGAGAATCAGACAACTTATCTCCGGTTTCAAATATCACTTTTTCATTTGACAGAGAGCACGAGACTGACAAGTGATCCAAACATACAAAAGATGGATTCTTTTGAACTGAGCATGACTGCAAACATATTATAATCAAGTTTTCCTCCCATAAACTCTCATAATTACAAAAAAGTCCTGATCCAAATAAGAGACATGTTTCTGTCTACTTTTTCTTCAGTTTCTCACACTCTTTTGCGCACACACACACACACACACACACACACACACACACACACACACACACACA